TCAACAAGTGCGGTATCAGCACTGGAGGTGGCACCCACCAAGCACATCCCATCCTCTCTGCCCTCTCGATGTGGTCGAAGACGTTGACACCAGACGTTCCGAACTCGGGATATCTGGAGTTTTCTTCTTCTTCACTGTTGCCGGCTCACTCTTCTTCCTCTGACTCTCTCCAACCGTCTGCATGATCGACCGTGCTCTGCCAACACCAACGTCTCCTGCAACAAGCTCAAATGATGCCAGGCATCCCAAAAACTTCATACGGTCCAGGACCGTTGGAGCCACGCTCCTCCTCAGCTCCTCAAGAGCAACCTGCCACTTGGCCATTCTCTTCTCGGTTCCACGAACCTCTCTCGCGACCAGGTCGCACTCATAGCCGAGCCCCGTAAACTTTGCGTCTGGCACTGCTGGCGGCAAACTCTTTTTTTTTTAATTTTTTTGCTTTTAGTGAAGGGGTCGAATGGAATTGGGAGTGTTCAAGACTATGATGGGAAGGATGTCTATGAAAATGGTTTGAAAAAGGACCAGGGAAAGAAACGGTGTTAATGACCAATGTCGAGGCAAAAATACCACTGACAGCTGTTAGCAAGATTGATGGCCGTGTAAGTTTGCTTATTTTTCAGCCAAAACTTTAGACTTTTTCAGACAAGGGAATGCCGAGAAGCTCTGCATGATACAACCAAATATTGTTATCATAGTTATGATATTGTAAGTTTGTATAGTGCTCTAAAGGACCGTTCTGATTTTTGCCAACCTTTGTTTCACAAACAACACGATGGAAGATACTTTTTCATCGGTTTAGGAGGCTACTGTAAGAATTTTAAACACCTTTACTTTAAAAAACTTGGCCGGTTTTAGGGGAAAAAGGGAGTCTACGTTTCCATGATTTTCGAAAGGAACTTGATGTGATTTGCGATTTGTTGGGAGTTTGTCCACCGTAGGTTTTATAAAACTCACAAAATTTCACACATTTTTTTAGTTGACCAAATTTTTCTAGCTGCAGTGGTTCTTGAGATATGCGCCTTTGAAGTTGGCGCCTATCTCGGCCGCTAAGGGGGTAGCGCGCCAACTTTAAAGGCACATATCTCAACAAGCATGAGAGCTACTAAAAAGTTTAAAACTAAAAAAATTTATAAAATTGAATTTCTTACATTTTGTTAGTTGACTTAATTTTTTAGCTATAATGGTTTTTGAGATATGCGCGTTTAAAGTTGGCGTGCTACCCCGTTAGCATGCGCTATCTTTAAAAGCGCATATCTCGAAAACCAAAGGAGTTATCAAAAAGTTGAAAAATACAAAAATATGTAAAATTTGATTTTGAATATTTTTGTAGTTAACACCTTTTCGATAGCTCTTATGGTTGTTGAGATATGCGCCTTTAAATTTATATTTTCAAAATTTAACTATATTTTTTGGTTCTCGGGTTATAAGCAGATTTTCAGGCCGCCCACTACAACCACAGCAGCAACAACAACATCTACCCTGGCTACAACTACAGTAACCTCTCAAAAACCACTGTAGCCAGAGCATTTTTATAAACTAACAAAATTTTAAAAATGTCAAATCCTTCAATCCCAAAAGCTTGATTTCCAGATCCGCCCTAATCATGGCCGGCTCGGCGCACCAAAACGAGTACGACTTTACGGAACGCCGTCACTCACTTACCAACATGTTCAAGGCGTTCAAGTTGTGATTAGAGCAAGATTTCATAGTATTTAAGTGATATATTTTTGTAAAATCATTTTATTTGTATAAATTTCAATCAGATTTTCATACATTTATTCATTCATTGTAGCCATTCAAAAATAAAAGGCAATAATACAAAGGAATAGAGGAATAATTGAGAATCTTCTGGAAGTGCTGTAAGGTTCGTCCGTTCCGTCCGTTCCGTTCCGTTCCTTCAGGTTCAATAGTTTTTGGACTACTAAGTTTTGAAATAGGTGTAACCACACCAATCAATTCTCCGTATTTCCCTGGTCCCGTAAAACCCATATCAATTCCAGATAAGCATCGGGAGTTGTGTGTTTTAGGTCATAAAAGACATGCTCCAAATGCTCGCAAAGTTTTTCCAACTAAATTTTCCGGAGTACCATCCTCTTTTGTAAACATTATTCAAAGGTGGGGGGACAGGAGATTTTTCGTAGTTTTTTTGTAGCTAGAGTATGCATTCTACCGTGACGGTGTACAACGCTTAATGTCACTCTGCGTACAGCTGTCGTCCTCGCCTTTATGTATGCAATCGGGCGTGCGCTTTCTCTTTGCCCGCGTGGCTCAGTCGGTAGCGGCGCCGCACCCTCAATCATCGCCCTCACAAGTTCAACTCCTCGAGGAGCATATTTAAACGAAATTTCGACAACATTATTTTTTTCATGTCCCCCCCCACCTTTAAAACATCATAAAAACCATAAAAGCAAGAGTTTTTTATAATTTTCCAAAGCTCACACCTCCTTTTCTTCTTCGATTAGTTTTGTTGTATGGCATTTCAAAATCTCGAGCTTCCTCATCAAAAAGAAATTCCGGAACATGATCTGAATTCGTGTCGGTTACTGTAGCCTACTGTAAGAAAAGATCACTTAAATACTTTGAAAATTTGCTCTAATCATAACTTGAACATGTTGATAAGTGAGTGATGGCGTTCCGTAAAGTCGCACTCGTTTTGGTGCACCGAGCCGGCCATGATTAGGACGGATCTGGAAATATAGCATATCGAATTGCAGATTTGAACATTTTTAAAATTTTGTTAGTTTATAGAAATGCTCTGGCTACAGTGGTTTTTGAGATATGCGCCTTTGAGGATAGGCGAAAATTTTCCGTATGTGTGCTTTCTCTATTTTTGAGACTGCAATTGAGAATCAAGTTTGATTGATGGAGAAAATTATTGCTATGAGTGTGGTTGGTAGATGTTGACCTCGAAGATCCTCAAAGTTTATTTTCAGCGTGATTGCTACGAAACCCGTTTTTTCCAGGTAAAAAAGTTATCGATGAGATCAGTTGATAACGAAATGATGGATATCAAAAACTCAGTTCGAGTTTCATCACTGTTCCTCTCACTTTGCCAGGCAAAATGAAAGCTGTATCCAGCACCGTGTTCATATTGCTCTTTGGTAAATTTCAGATCTCATTAAAGCCTATGATTCTGAGCACAGTTTCAGCAATCAATATGTTTGCTGGCGTTCGTGTGAAACGTGGATTGAGCACCGGGGAGCAAAAGAAACTCGTGGATGCTTTGAATGCGGATCGTCGAGCAGTTGGCGAAAATATGGGAATCACATTTGAGAAACTGGTTTTTTATTTTGTGTGTCTTAAATAATCCAATTCTGGACAACTTTCAGACCTATAACAGGGGCCTTGAAATGAAAGCAGAGAACTTCAGATGCGATGATCCTATCAACCCATTTGAAATGGTCCCGTTGAAAGTGAATCGGTACTTTAAAGAAGTTTATGGTCCTGCGAGGTTTGAAGGAAAGGACGTGTTTAGCAGAGCGTTTTTCAATCCGAAGCACACAAAAATTGGATGCTCCAAGGAGAAGACGTGCTCGTATACAACCAAAGCCGGGAAAAATGCAGGAAAAACTAGAGAATATTGGGGATTTTGCATTCTTGGACCTTCAAATGATTACCGCTTTGATGATTCTAACACTCCAGAGAAGAATGGAATGCCAACTTACGAGAAATATGGAGACTTGCTGGGAGTCGGACCATATTCTACGAAAGAAGCTGAAGCTAAATCAGGAAATCCATATGCTGACTGGGTTGCCGAAGAAGCTACAGTTGATGCGAAAAGTTCCCGAACTGGATCCTCCTTCTTCAGTTTAACTCTATTTCTTGTATCTATTCTTGCATTCTATTTTTGAATGATTATGATGATTGAATAAAGAAATTTCCCATGGTCATCTTTAAAGGCGCATATCTCCAGAACTATAAACGCTAGCTGAAGTTTGGAAATTAGTAAAATATACCTTCGTAAAACCCTATGATTCTGAGCACAATTTCAGCAATCAGTGTCTCTACTGGCGTTTGCGTGAAACGTGGATTAAGTTCCGGTGAGCGAAAGAAAATATTGGATGCTAGAAATGCGGACCGAATGAAGCTCAGTCAAACAAATTTGGTATGGATATTTTTTAACTTTGGTAACTTCAAAAATTAATTTCAGACGTATGATTTGAGGCTTGAAAAAGAAGTAGACAGATTGGCGTGTGAGAACGGGAAGCGAAAGTAATTATTTCGCCTTGAAATGGAATGATGTTGGCGACCAATTAGTTGAGTTTTTGAAGAAAAAGGATCCAGAGCCTACGATGCCTGGTATGAGATTGTTTGATCCGGCACAAACACACATCGGATGCTCCAAAACCAAAAAATGCCCAATGAAGCTAACAAAAGAGGATGGCCCTCCGGAAAAATTAGTTGGAAAGACTATTCGAACATCTGGAGCCTGTCTTTTAGGGCCTAGCCAAGGAGAATTCAAAATACACAAATCTGATCTGGAAGGTATTGGATTTACGGGACCAGGGAAATACGGAGAATTGATTGATGTGGTTGTACCAAGTTCTTCCGGAAGATTCTCAATTATTCCTCTATTCCTTTGTATTATTGGATTTTCTATTTCATTGAATGACTATAGTGAATGAATAAATGTGTGAAAATCTGGCTTAATTTTACACAAATACAAGATTTATACAAATAAAATAATTTTACAAAAATATATCACTTAAATACTATGAAATCTTGCTCTAATCATAACTTGAACGCCTTGAACATGTTGATAAGTGAGTGACGGCGTTCCGTAAAGTCGTACTCGTTTTGGTGCGCCGAGCCGGCCATGATTAGGGCGGATCTGGAAATCAAGCTTTTGGGATTGAAGGATTTGACATTTTAAAAATGTTGTTAGTTTATAGAAATGCTCTGGCTACAGTGGTTTTTGAGATATGCGCCTTTGAAGTTGGCGTGCCTCTCCGCAGTAAGAGGAAGTGCGCCGACTTCAAAGACGCATATCTGAAAAACCAGAAAAGCTATTAAAGAATAGCTAACTACAAAAATATGTAAAATTTAATTTTCTACATTTTTGTAGTGGACAACTTTTTAATAGCTGTCAAAGTTCTTGAGATATGCGCTTTTAAAGTTGATTCCCCTAGCGATTGTTATTCTTTTGTGCCATTTACCGGCCAATCATGATAAGTCATAAATCTAAAGTGTGAATATTGTAATTTTTATTGCTATTGTCTATTTATATTTTACATACCACCTGATAACGTAATAGTGTCCTTAATATGTGAAAAAGAGGGCGGAGTTTACCAGGGGCGGGGTTAGCCAGGTAAGGTACGCTCCGCTTACAAGAGTGTGGAAAAAGGGGCATATTTTGCTAACCGTAATAGATATCGGATAGTTGTAAACTACAAAAATGTAAGAAATTCAATTCTTCACATTTTTGTAGTTAATTACTTTTTGATAGGTAATATGGTTTTTGAGGTATAAGCCTTTAAAGTTGGCGCACCTCTTCGCCGTCAAGAGGGGAGCGCGTAGACTTTAAAGGCGCATATCTCAAAAACCAGAAAAGCTATTTAAAAGTTGTAAACTACAAAAATATATTAAATTTGACTTTACACATTTTTTCAATTTACAGTTTTTTAGTAGCTGTTATGTTTAGTGAGGTATGCGCCTTTAAAGTTGGCGCGCCTCTTTACCCGGCGCCAAATGGGAAGCGCGCCAACTTTAAAGAAGCATATCTCAAAAACTACGGTATCTAAAAAAATCAAATCTTGCTAGGGGTTTTTAACGCGTAGAATTCAAAAAATTAGCTCAAGAATGTACCTGTGCACAAGCTCCCTGAGCCGCGACGCCTCGTTCTCTCGATTCAATCGTCGCATCATGATCACATGTGAAAAATATGTGTATAGTATGAACCCGATAACGGACCCCAGAATACAAAACGACATTAGTTGAGACGATTTTGATTGGCTGAAAAAAATCTTGAATTGAAAACATCCTGAAAATTTTGGATTACCGATACTTATACGGTTTCCTCCGGTCCGTATAAGTTTTACCATAATCCGGATGATGCTGAGATTCATGACTCCAAATGATCATTCGACCCTCGTGAGCATCCCTCCAATCATTTTCTTTCAAAGTGATGAATGTAGATGGGTCGATTCGTTTTTCCTGGAACTTTTGGTTTTCTAGCTACCGTAGTTTTTGAGATATGCGCCTTTGAAGTTGCTAGCGCTTTGGGGGAAGGGACGCGCCAACATTAAAGGCGCATAACTTCAAAACTACAATAGCTAGAAAAAAGTCGCAAACTACAAAAATGTGTATTTTTAAATACTACACATTTTTGCAGTGAACAAATTTTAGCTAGATTTTGTGGTTTTTGAGATATGCGCCTTTAAATTTGGCGCGCTACCCCCTTGAGGGAGAAGACAGTGCGTCGCGCCAAAGGAGAAGCTTATTTTAAAGGCACATACATCACGAGCTATAAAAGCTAGCTAAAATTTGTAAACTACAAAATATAGTGGATTTCATAAGCTACATTTTTGCAGTGAACAAATTTCAGCTAGATTCTGTGGTTTTTGAGATATGCTCCTTTAAATCCCATTCACCGGGTGGTGGGCCCCCTATCCTTAAAGGCGCATAACTCCAAAAACTACTGTAGCCAGAAATGTGATATTTGTAGTTGTAGAAAATTTTATACCTTTCAAAATGATATAAAATCTGTCAAGATCAATCTCTGTCAAAATTCCGGAAAATTGAAAATTTTGCAAAACATCTTTTCGAAAAAAAATTGTTTTTTTTTTAATTTCAAAATTTCCATTTCTTAAAAATCAATATCATTTTGAAGTCCTTCAAATTTCCTACAAATTGGTATAATTTATATTTTTCTAGCTTAATTTTGAAGTTATGCGCCTTTAAACATCCGACATGGTACATTGGCTCATCTTCTGGAAGTTTAAAGGCGCATAACTCAAAAATCGAAAAAGCTATGTGAAAATCATTTATATCATGATGTAGAAAATTTTGTAAGCTACATCTTCGTAGTTTACAAAATTGAGCTAGCTTTTATGGTTTTGAGTTATGCGCCTTTAAAGTTGGTGCGCCTCACCTTCCGTCTTCCGGCCTTATGGGCGCCACTCCCCCGTATTAAAGGCGCATAACTCAAAAACCTGAGAAGCTATTGAACATTTGTTAACTAACAAAATATAGCAAATTTAATAAGCTTCATTTTTGTAGTTTACACTTTTTTGACAGCTATCTTAGTTTCTGAAATATTTGATTTTTCCTAACCCTCACCTTCTTTTTCTCCTCCTCCCTTGTAAAATTCTTAACGTCATCAGTGATATTCAGAATATTATATAGCTCATCCATATTTGTCTTTTTTATCACTTTCTCGTCAATTATTGGTCTAGTGGTCACCAGAAAACAAAAGATCGATAATAGTAGAATTTGGAGAAGCTTGGAGAGTCGAGACGTGCCAAACATACACAACCATGCGCTGTTTTTCCTGAAAAAGAGCCAGATTATTTGGAATTTCAAAATTTTGAAAAGTTGTAAAAGATAGAGAATGTTACGGGCTACATTTTTGTAATTTACACTATTTTGATAGCATTCCTGGTTTTTGAGATATGCGCCTTTTAAGTTTAGGGTATCTTGGAGGAAGGAAATTTCAGAAAATTGGCTATAACTTGGTTGAAAATGATCCATTCTGAGTAATAGATCAATTTTTGAAATTGGCAAGTCAAGAGCCTCAAAATGAGTATAAACAAGACTATTTTTGAGAAAATCAAAAATTTCGAAAATTTCGAATAATCCGAAATTCCAAAAAATTGACTATAACTTGGCTGAAAATGGTCTAAATCAAATAAAACTTGAATTTTTGAGGTTTGCAAGCAAAGAGCTTCAAAATGAATATAAACATGCCCGGATTTCTTCAAATTTGAATTTTGGGTTAGAGACGCAGTGTGTCTGGTTTCTCTGATTTTAGCCTCGTTAACAAAATAGGTCATAACTTGGTTCATTTTGTCAGTTTTTGAAAATTCAAAAATATTTGAAATAGGCAAGTCAAGAGCTTCAAAATGAGTATAATCATGACTATGTTACTTTAAATTTGAAATTTGGGTTTAAAGGCGCACAGAGGTTCGAAAACAAAAATTTAAGAAAACTAGGTCATGGTTATACTCATTAGCTGAAAATTTAATAAGAAAAAAAATCTGAATTTTATTATAATTAAACAGATTTCAGCAAAGTTACGGCAATTTGAATTTTTTTTTTTGAAAAATCTGAAATTTCAGAGAAATTGCTATAACTTCGCTGAAACTCACCCAACTGAGATAAAACTTTCTTTTTTGAGTTTTATGAGTCAAGAGCTTCAAAATGAGTATAATCATGACCTACTTTCCTCAAATTTCGTTTTTGGACCCCCTATGTGGGGTTCATGCGCCTTTAAACCCGAAACTTCAAAGTTAAAGGAATATAGTCATGTTTATACTCATTTTGAAGCTCTTAATTTGCCAAGTGTAAATATTTAAGTTTCACAGCAATCTGAGATGATTTCGAAAAGTTATGGGCGTTTTTCCCATAAAATATGCAAAATGTTAAACGCAAAGAAAACATCGAAAAAATTTAATGTTAGACATAGGAAAAAAAAAGAAGGTATAATGTATAAATGTCAGTAGAAATCTCGATTTTCATGTCTAGGGACTAGGTTTTTTGGGGTTTTTGGCGCAGGAAACAATTATTTTCGAGGGTGTATATATAGGAGAAGTCAAATGAAAGGTAACAGAAAAAAGAAGAAAAAAAGAAGCCAAAAAAGGGAATAGAGAAGGTCTCCATTGACAATTTTGTGTTTCTTTTTTCATATTCGGTCGACCGCGGTCGAGATTTAAAAAAAAGCTCAAAAAAGCCATTTTTGACAGGTTTGATGTCCCATAAATCTTCAAAAAATTTGAAAATGAAAGATGAGTGACAGAAAACGAATATATTTTGATGCGTTTTTTTTTGAAAAACTGACAAAATCTGAAGTTCAAAAAATCGAAAAATCGAGAAAAAATTAAGCCAGATTGAAGTTGTCAATGACAACTTGTTATTTAGAAAAGTCTAGAAACGCCCATAACTCTTTAAAATTGACACAAATTGCCTTGAAACATAAAAATCTAAGTTTGGCAAGTTCAGAGCTTCAAAATGAGTATAATCATGACCAACTTTCCTGAAATTTCATTTTTCGGACCCCCCTATGCGCCTTTAAAGTCAAAAAACCAAGTTAAAAGGAACATATGCATGATTATGCTCATTTTGAAGCTCTTGACTTGCGAAACTCAAATGTTTTTGAATTTTCAAGATTGGACAAAAATGAACCAAGTTATGATCCATTTTGTTAACAAGGCGAAAGTGCAGAGAAACCAGACACACTGCGTCTCTGACCGAAAAAATCAAAATTTTAGGAGCCTAGGCATGCTTATACTCATTTTGAAGCTGAAAACTAGCTAAGCTCAAAAATATATGTATTTCTCAGATTAGACTATTTTCAGCCAAGTTACAAGCATTTTTCTGAAAATATAAAAGTTTCAAAAAAATTTAAACTGCCGTAACTTAGCTCAAATTTGATCCATTACGATGAAATATTGATTTTCGTACTCAGCGAATGATTAGCTTGAAAATGGGTGTAATTATGACCTACTTACCCCGAATTTCATTTTTCTGACATTTTTCGCACCTCCTATGCGCCTTCAAAGTCAAAAAACCAAATGCAAAGGAACATAGCAATGATTATACTCATTTTGAAGCTCTTGACTAGCCAAACTCAATTATTTTTAAATTTTTGCAATCGGACAAAAACGAGCCGAGTTACGACCGATTTTGGGTTATGAGGGTGGGGCCAGAGAAACCAGACACGCTGCGTCTCTAGCCCGAAGTTCACATTTTTAGGAACCATAGCTTGTTCATACTCATTTTGAAGCTTAAAACTAGCTGAGCTCAAAAATTTTAAAATTTTCAAAGTTGGACAATTTTCAGACAAGTTACAGGCGTTTTTCTGAAAATTCAATTTTTTGAAAAGTTCCAAATTCTTGAAACCTAGGCATGTTTATACTCATTTTAAAGCTGTCAATTTGCGAAACTCAAAAATGTGAATGTCTTTGCGTTTTGAGAGTACTGTAGCCAAAATTTACAACCCAAAAGGGTCAGAATCCTATTTTTCCAACATATTAAAGTTTTTTCTCAAAAAATTTTTTTTGATAGAAATTAGTTGGGGAGCGAACGAGAAAAACATGAAGTAGGAAAAATTGGAAAAATTGCTGCTGCTCTCATATGTTGCTCATAAAATTTTAATGTCAGAAAAAGAGAGACAGGAGGGGGGAAAAATTATTTTTCTTCTCATTTTTTTCTAGACAATTCTAGAAAAGATAGAATTAGTTTTGAACACAAAACTAATCTAAGAATTTCCGAAAAATTTGAAAAAAAATTCGAAAAAATCCGATTTCTATGAGCCAAGTTAGGATGGTTAGAAGATTAGGCTCAAAAAAGCTTTGTGAAAAAGTTTAAAGCTCCAAAATCTCAAAAACCCGTTTTCAGAGAAGTTTGAAAATATTATATTTGAAATCTACGCGTTTAGAGCTTTAAAATGAGTATAAACATGACTGGGCTCCGCCAATTTTGATTTTTGGACTTCAAAGGCGCAGAGGGGGTGCGAAAAATAGAATACATAGAAAGTAGGTCATGATTATACTCATTTTGAAACTAATAAGAATATAAGTTCAAAAATATAAATTTCACTCAAAATTGGATCAGTTTCAGCAAAGTTATGCTTATTTTTCTGAAAATTCAACTTTTTTGGAAAATTAAAAATGACCGTAACCTTGCTGAAAATAGTGCAATTCGGAGAAAAATTAAATTTTTGTACTCAACTTGTCGTTAGCTTCAAAATGAGTATAATCACGACCCACTTTCCCCGAATTCATTTTTTGGACCCCCTATGCGCCTTTAAACTCGAAAAATCAAACTTAAAGGAACATAGTCATGATTATACTCATTTTAAAGCTGATAACAAGCTGAGTTCAAAAATAAAGCTCTTATTAAATTTAAAGCATTTCCAGACAAGTTATGGCACTTTATAATACCTGAAAATTTAAAATTCGGGAACATCGTCATATTTATACTCATTTTGAAGCACTAAACTGGAAAATTGGAAATTTGAGGAAGGGTGGGGATTTTTTTTTTAAATTCAGGTTAGTTTTCAAGCTAGAATAAGAATGCTAGAAGTGTGTTTAAAGGCACATGGGAGGTAAAAAAAGAAAAAAAAAGGATTTTTTGTTTTTTTTTGTTTTTTCGAAAAAAAAAGTAGTAAAGTGTGAAGAACAGGTGTTTGGAGGGTTGTAAAAAACGTCATTTTTAGGAAAAAACGAATAAAGGGTCCCTTTTTTTGAATGGGACCTTGCATGAGGACCCCCCCCCCCCCGAAAACCTATTAATAGAAGATGGAAAAAAACATAAAACCCCCAAAAGAAAAAGTTTTATGGTCTTTTTCGTCACTCCCGTTTTCTCTACTTCATGTTCTTAAGGCCAATTTAGAGCATTTTATGGTTTTTCTAGAGAACTACAGTAATCCTAAAAGGCAAAAGAAAGCTACGGAATTTTTGTTTGAAAATGTTTTGGATCGTAACTTTCTTATTTGTGAAATAGACTATTTGAAACTTATATTTTTGAATTTCTCATGTTTAGAGCTTCAAAATGAGTATAAACATGCCTATGTTCCTTCAAACTTGAAATTCGACTTTAAAGGCGCATAAGGGGTTCGAAAAATGAAATTCGTGGAACGTAGGTCATGATTATACTCATTTTGAAGCCCTTGATTTGCCAAATTCAAATATTTCAAAGTTTTTCAAATTGAGCAAAAATGGACCAAGTTATGACCCATTTTGTTAAAGAGGCTAGAGTCAGAGAAACGAGACACACTTCACTGACCTAAAATTCAAGTTTTGAGAAATATAGGCATGTTCATACTCATTTTGAAGCGAAAAGGTCACTGAACCCAAAAATCATAATTTCATTCAATTTGGACTATTTTCAGCCAAGGTATGGTTATATTTCTGACATTTTGGATTTTTTGAAATTTTCAAAAATATTCAAACATGGTCATGTTTATACTCATTTTGAAGCGGTTAACTCAAACTCAAACATTTTTGAGTTTTTGAAATCGCACGAGAATAGACCAAGTTACCGTTATTTTTCTGAAAAGGCTAGAATCAGAGAAACCAGACAACCTGCGTCTCTAACCCGAAATTCAAATTTTGAGAAACCATAGCTCGTTTATACTCATTTTGAAGCTGAAAACTCAGTGAGCACAAAAATGTATGTTTCGTCCAGATTGGAAGATATTCAGCCAAGTTATAGACATTTTTCTGAAAATTTGGATATTTCGAAAATTTCAAAAATATTCAAACCTGGTCATATTCATACTCATTTTAAAGCTCTTGACCTAAGAAGCTGGAAAATTTTAGTTTCACCAAAATTAGACCATTTTCAGCAGGATTACAACAGGCCTAAAAAACTCACTCAAAAAAAACGAATATAGTTCAATGTTTTTAGAATTTTCACCAAAAGTAATAGAATCTCGGGAAAAAAGTAAGTCACCAAAAAATACGTATAATAGTGGATCGTAAATTAAAGATGAGCAATATCCCTAAAAACTAAAAAATAGCATGGAAAATGGAGAGACGCAGAGAAAATTTGCTATTTTTTGTTATTTTTTGGTGAAGCCAAACAAATCTGAGCAATACCGAAAATTTTTGCTTCTTGACGAATTTTTTTTTCCCGGAAAAAAGAGAGAAATTTGAGACGAACGGCTCTGGGACGCATCAAAATGTCAATCATGTTAAAATTTACTCGAAAACGAGGAGGAACATTAAATTTGGCGCTTTTCCGGGTTGGAAGAAGAGATGATAGAATTTCATCTGAAGAAAAACGACTATAACTTTGCTAGAAACGCTGGAATTTTTTTGAAACTTGAATTTTTGAATTTGGCAAGTCAATAGCATCAAAATGAGTATAAACACGAGCAATTTTGAAAATTTTTGAAAATTTCGAAAAATCCAAATTTTCTGAAAAATAGCTGTAACTTGGCTGAAAATCTTCCAATCTTGATGAAACATACATTTTTGTGCTCACTGAGTTTTCAGCTTCAAAATGAGTATAAACGAGCTATGGTTTCTCAAAATTTGAATTTCGGGTAAGAGACGCAGGGGGGGGGGGGTCCAAAATTTGAAAATAAAGGAAAGTAGGCCATGTTTATACTCATTTTGAAGCTAATGACAAGATAAATTTGCGTTTAGAAGTTTAAATTGATAAAAAGCATTTTCAGACTAGTTTTGAATGCCTACAATGTCTAGCCTTTAAAAAAAATTCAGAAAAATGACTATAACTTAGCTGAAAATAGTTCAAATCGAATGAAACTTCTATTTTTGAGCTCAGTAATTTTTAGCTTTAAAATGACTATAATCATGCTAGGGTTTCTCGAAATTTGAATTTTTCGGTGAGAGACACAGTGTGTCTGGTTTCACTGACTGTAGCTTTTTCAGAAAAAGGCTCGTAACTTGGTGCATTTTTGTCAGCTTTCAAAAATTTGAAAATATTTGAGTTTGGCAATAAACGGGCTAAAGATTGAGTATGAACAAGACCAAGTTTGAGATTTTTCGAAAATTTCGAAACATCCGAAATTTCAGATAAATGACTATAACTTGGTTGAAAATGGTCCAATTTTTATGAAAGTTAAATTTTTGTGCTCAATGAGTTTTCAGCTTTAAAATGAGTATAAACATGCCTAGATTTCTCAAAATGTGATTTTTCGGGTCAGAGACGCAGTGTGTCTGGTTTTAGAAAAATTACCGTAACTTGGTTATTTTTTGTCCGATTTTGAAATTTTGAAATTATTTTGGTTTGGCAAGAAAAGGGCTTCAAAATTAATATAACCATGACCTATTTTCTTTGTATTTTATTTTTCCGATCCCTTATGCGCCTTTAAACTCGAAATTTCTAATTTCAAGGAACATGGTCATGTTTATACTCATTTCGAAGCTCTAAACATGAAAAATTCAAAAATGTATGTTTCAAAAATTTTGCTTTGCAAATAAGAAACTATGAAAGTTTTGACCTAAATTCTAGCCTTTTCAGAAAAAGGCTCGTAACTTGGGTGCATTGCTGTCCGATTTTGAAAATCTTTAAATTTTTGGGTATAACAGGTCAAGAGCTTCAAAGTTATATTAAATATGATCTAGGCAGATTTCTGAAAAGTTTAGAAATTTCAATTTTTCTGAAAATTTGAAAAATTCAAAATTCTGACTATGAGAGTAAACAAAAAACCAGGAAACGAAAAAATGAAAATAAGGGAAGAGATGGAAATTTCGAGAAGATCTTTTCCCCTAAAAAAAGTCGTATTTTCCCGAAAAGAGCTCAAGTTTTATTATGGGTGGCTCTGTTCTGAAGTGTACTCGAGAGCTCTTTTTCTGTCTGCTCTCATCAACTTTTTTATTCTGGAAATTTCTTTTTTTTTTTTGAAAATTATTTATTTATTTACACCTCACATCAGAGGATCAAAAATTTAAAGATAAAAAGTTCAATTAATACTGATAATCAGTCAAAAATTTCTTGACTCGGCTCCCTTTGGAATTCGTCGCCACACATTCGTACTCTCCTTTGTCCCCAATTGACGTCGGATCAATCTCCAGATGACTGGATGTGGTGTCTCCGTGGATGGAGAAGCGGATCTGAAACTTTTTAATCATTAAAAAAAGAAAAAAAGAGTTTGCCGCCAGCAGGGGTCGAACCTGCGACCTTGGGCTTATTAGACCCACGCTCTAACCGACTGAGCTATGGCGGCACATTGTCTTCTGGTCGACAAGGCGTATATAAATCAGAGGGTGCGAGAGCGGCCGCCGCGACTTCATATACGTCTTGCCGACCAAAAGGCCAGTGTGCCGCCAAAGCTTTTTTCTCTTTTTGCTATTTGAGCTATTCCTCAAGTATGGTTAAATGAAACTAACACCGGTCGTCAACTCTCAGACATATGACGTGGCACTTGAAAAGGAAATAGAGACGGGCAAGTGTAAGAATTGGGGTGACTAGACTGTGGTTCCATTGAAAGTGAACAGTGATTTGAAAGAATTCATGAAGGGAAAATTTGACTACAGCGAAACGCTTTTCCTTCCGGATCGCACGAAAATCGGATGATCCAAATACGAGGGAAGACGGGGAATTGGTCGAGAAAACCTTTCAACGTTGGAAAGCGTGCATTTTGAGTCCTAAAACTCCTTACGACGTCAATGTAGGTAGTACTCTTGCGGAAGCTGAAGTTCCAAATTTCGAAAAATATGGAGACTTGCTGGGAATTGTTGAAGAACCACTAGATTCCCGAATTGGATCCTCCGGAAGATACTTCAGTTTAACTCTATTTCTTGGTATTCTCGCATTCCATTTTTAGACCAATGCTCATGATGAGTGAATAAATGGACTTCAAAATAATTGAACATTTCCAAAGCTACAAACTGACCAGGGAATGGTGTGAATCGGGTATGAAGTTACGGCGACCAATATCATTACTATCCAAAATTTCTATTGAAATTGAGGGAAAATAGTACACTGTTCAGAGCTTTAGACCTAATTTTCTCTGAGCTGGTGGCTCTATAGCAATTTCTGATTGCATTTTCGTCCATAACTTTTTCTCAGCTTTCCAATGATATTGGTCATGTGCCGTAACTCCATACCCGCTTCACACCATTCCCTGGTGAGAAACTTATAAAGACAATTCATAAGCAACAAACACCCACTAACTTATTTGAACCGTTTTTTCTCATTTTTTGCCAAAGATATGAAAAAGTTGTCAACTGAAAAATTGTTTATCATAATCTCACAAATATTTTATTTGTTGACACATTTTTGGTAGTAAACACTTGTCGACTGATAAAATGATTGCCCTGATATCACCTACACTTTAGTAGTTTGCAAGGTTTTGATATCTCTTATAGCGACCTAGATAATAGAGCTCAAAGTGCAACCAATAATATGAAAGCTGTGTTCCGCATCGCGTTCATATTGCTCTTTGGTAAGTTTCAGATCTCATTAAAGCCTATGATTTTAATCACATTTTCAGCAACCGGTTTCTTTACTAACGTTTATGGAAAACGTGGATTGAGCACCGATGAGCAAAAGAAACTTCGGGATGTTGTGAATGCTGATCGTCAAGCAGTTGGCGAGAATATGGGAATCAAATTTAAGAAACTGGTTTGCTTGTTAATGTTTGAAGAAACTTATTCCAGTCAACTTTCAGACCTATAACTTGAAACTTCAAAGGGAATTAGATACTTCCACTGCGGAAATTTTGATGACGTGGCGTTGAAGGATGCTCCATTACTAGGAGATAGTGCTACTGATGGATATATGGACGAAGTCAGACGGGAGACTGGAATGGACGAGTATAGCAGAGTGTATTTCAATCCGAAGAGCACAGAAATCGGCTGCATTAAAAATGATGGGGGTGTGGAACGTATTATCGAGTCAACCGCAGAAAAGTGAAATTTCAAGAAGTTTGTAGTTTGGGACCGGGTCACAGTGATTACCCATTCGATCCACAAAACACTCCTGAGGAAGCTGGAATGCCGAATCTGTCGAAATATGGAGAATTGCTGGGACTAGGACCAGCTGCATCAGAATATGCCAGAATTATGCCCATGTCAAGAAAATTAGGAACTTCTAAAAAACCAAAAACATGGGATGACTGGGCAGCTGAACAATCTACAGTTGATCCGAAAAATTCCTCAGCTGTGTCTTCCGGAAAAATCTTCAGTTTAACTCTATTTCTTGGATCTATTCTTGTATTCTATTTTTGAATGATTATGATGATTGAATAAAGAAATTTCCCAGATGGTTATCTTCAAAGGCGCCTATGTCAAGAAATAAGAACGCTAGCAAAAGTCAGGCAATCAGTAAAATATAGCTTATTAGGTTTTATACATTTTCCATTTTTCTAAACCTGAATACCTTCTTATCTAGCTGAGAAACACTAGGTTAGATATTGAAAAAGGATTCAAATGTTTAAAGCAATATATCTCACCAACCATAAAAGCTAACTAAAATTTGTAAATTACAAAAATACGTAAAATTTAATTTTCTACATTTTTGTAATAAACAACTTTTTAACAGCTATCATGGTTAGCGAGATAGGCACCTTTAGAGTTGATGCGCCTCCTGTGGCGCGCCCAAACTGTCCGCCTCTCCCTCTCCCCCTCTCACACCCTGTGTTCGCGCGCCTTTTTCATAGTCTATCTTTAAAGGCGCATATCTCAAAAACGGCATACGCTATTAAAAAGTTGTAAACTACAAAAATATGTAAAATTAAATTTCCTACAGTTTTGTAGTTGATAACTTTTTGATAACTTTTCTATTTTACGAGATAATTAGAGTTAAAAACTAACCGTTCTATTGTGGTCCGGATTCACTTCAACTCCACGATGATACCATACAATTCGAGGCCTAGGGGTTCCGTTGGCCTCACAAAATAATTTTAACTTGTATCCCAATCGAAAATCCTGCTTGAAATATGAGGAACGGCTGATTTTTGGAGACCCCTAAAGAAATTTTTTGAGATTTTCAAAAAAAAAATTTTCCAAAATCTCACATTTGAATGGTCCGTAAAATCCAAATCCTCGATTTGTTTAAGCTGAGCAATTGCTGGCAAAACCAAGAGGATGGTGAGGATTACTCTACGCATTTTTAGGACATCTGGAACAACATGAAAATTTTTTTCGGAAAAAAAATTATGGGAAAAAATAGAATTGCTCATTTTGTGCTGCTCAATGTACGCTTCATTAATTTGGCACTGAATAATTCAGAGATTAGAGCTCATGGAGCAAAAAGGAAGGAGACGTTCAGAAACAAAAAGGGTTTTTTCTGATTTTTTGGAAAAGTAGGATTTTTGGAATTTTGGTTTTTTGATTTTCAGATTTTTCGAAATATTAGGATTTAAGGGATTTTAAAGTTTTGGAAAATGCCAGAATTTTGGGATTCTTCAAGTCTATTTATTAATTTGTTATGCTTAGAGCTTCAAAATGAGTATAAACAAGACCATGTTCCTTTAAACTTGATTTTTAGACTTTAAAGGCGCATGAACCCCACGACGGGGGGTCAAAATTGAAAATTCTGGAAAGTAGGTCATGATTATACTCATTTTGAAGCTCTCAGCATGGAAAATTGAAAAATGCAAGTTTCATTAGATTCTAAAAAAAACTAACAAAGTTACATCAAAATCAATCTTCGAAAAAACTGACTATTCTGAAAATTGACCATAACTTCTTTATTTTCGAAGCAAACTCGTAGAAAATTGTATTGTTCGATTTTTCATGTTTAGAGCTTCAAAATAAGTATAAACATGACTATGTGCCTTTAGATTTGAAATTTCGAGTTTAAAGGCGCATAAGGGGTCCAAAATTTAAAACGTCTGGAAAGTAGGTCATGATTATACTCATTTTGAAGCTCTTAATGCGGCAATTTTTAGAGTTCCAGGATTCTTTAATTTCAAAAATTACCAAAATTTGAAAACTCGAATTTTTCAGATTTTCAGGCTTTTTCAAATTTCGTACCTTTAGAAAACGGGAAAAAAACGTTTGGGAAAAGTTTTCAAAAAAGTCGAAAAAGAGGGAAATTTCTAGAGTAATTTTCTCCAAACGCCAAAATGAAGAACAAGAGAAAAAGAAGAAGGAAAAAGAGAAAAAAAAGGTTGTTGAGTAGAGAAAAAATCGAAAAAAAAGGAGAAAATGGGACCTGAATAAAATCTCGCGGTCTCTTTTTTTAGACCCCTCCATTTTCGATTCAATTTCCCCTTTTTTTTTGGGAAATTGTTTTTTTTAGGTTTTAGGTTTTTTAAAAGAATTTTTGGGAATTTCAAATTTCGAAAAATATAGGAAAATATAGGAGATTCAGAACTAAACTCTCTAAAGAATCTCTGGAAAATAATCTCGAAAAACTTCAAAATTCCAATAATAGAACTTCCCTCTAATTATCAAATTTGAGCTTCTTCATCTCATTTCCTGTAAGAGATATCTAAAATGTGTCAACTGATAAAATATTGGTGATATTATGATAAACAATTTATCTGTTGACCACTTTTTGATATCTTCAACAGGAATCGAGATATATGGGCTCAAAGTTAGAGAGCCCTTCTATTACAGGTTTTACGGTGGGTATTTCGGAATTTTAGCAAAATTTTCAAATTTTCAAACTCTCAAAATATATGAAAAGGCAGAAATGTAAGAAAGTTAATCCCCGCGGCTTCTAAAGTTTTCCCCTTGTTTTACAAGGGGTACTTACAAGGGGATTACTGTGGGGAGGGACCAAAATAAAGGACCAGGAATAAAAGATGAGCAATAAAAGCAAGAAAAGGGGATTATGTACATATAAGGATTAGAGGTCATTAATTTTGAAAAAAGTAGAGCAACGTATACTGTAGGCCATAAATATGTCAATTAGGATTAGGATGTTCAGCTACGCATATATACTTCCCGGAGCAGTATTTCAGCCATAACTTTGTTATTTTTGAATATTTTTGCATTGCTTTTAAAGTATTGAATTTCTTACGTTGAGAGCTTCAAAATGAGTATAAACATGACATACTTTCTTTGATTTTGAAACTCTGGACCCCCTATGCGCCTTTAAACTCAAAATTTCAAACTTAAAGGAACATGGCCTTGTTTATACTTATTTTGAAGCTTTTAACATAAAAAACTTGACAATACAAGTTTATACAAGTTTGCTTCAAAAATAAAAAAGTTATGGTCAATTTTCAGAATAGTCAGTTTTTTCGAAAATTTGATTTTTGAGTAACTTTGTTATTTTCTCATATTTTTGTGTGATTTTTTAATGTTTGAATTTTATGCTTTGAGAGCTTCAAAATGAGTATAATCGTGACCTACTTTCCTGAATTTTTGAATTTTGCCATTTATTGGCCCCACTAAGCGCCTTCAAACTCGAAATTTCAAATTTAAAGGAACATGGCCTTGTTTATACTTATTTTGAAGCTCTTAACATGAGAAAGTCAAAAATATAAATTTTAGCAATTTTGCATCAAACATATGGAAGTTATGGTCGGTTTTCAGAATGTTGACTTTTTTGTCTGGAAATCAATTTTTGCGTAACTTTGTTAGTTTATATCAGAATCTGATAAAACTTAAATTTTCAAACTTTCCATGTTGAGAGCTTCAAAACGAGTATAATCACGACCTACTTTCCAGAAATTTTAAATTTTGACCCCCCTTTTAGGGGTTCATGCGCCTTTAAAGTCGATATTTCAAATTTGAAGCAACATGTTCATGTTTACACTCATTTTGAAGCTCTTCACTTACTAATTTCAATAATAACAGTTTTGTTTCAAAATATTGAAAATTGAAAAAGTTATGGTCCAAAAAGCTGAAACCTTATTCCGGATAGCTTCCTTAATGATATGGTCAAAACGATTTTTCTCATTTCCTGTGAAAGCTATCAAAAAGTGATCAACTAACAAAATGTTTTTGATAATATGATACACAGTTTATCAGTTGACCACTTTTTGATATCTTTTACAGGAACCGAGATATATACGCTCAAAACTGACAGACTGAAAAAAAAAGCGAAAAATTCACAAATCAAAAAAAATTGGTTCAAATTTAAGGTAAAAAAGCCATACAAAGTTTTTGCTCTAAAAAATGTGTTCTTGCTCAATGAAGTGTTGAAGATGTGTTGAAAAAAAATTGGCAAAAAACATTTTTTCTTTTTTTTTGAAAAAAAAAATTCCCACAGAAATAGAGAGAGAAGGAGTAAATTTATGCACCACGCTGCTCCTTTTCTCTTTTTTTTCCCTTCAACTCGTTCTTCTTCTTCTCCTTCTTCTTCTTCATCAAAAAGTGACGAGTCGATGACTTTTTGCGTCTTTTTTCAGGTTTTTGGGTGCCCCTACCCCCCTTATGAATAAATTTTGCGGAAAAAAAAGGACAGGAATTTTAAAGGAACAATATCAAAAATACAGAAAAATAAATTAATTCATTGAATTTGGCACGTTAAAAGCTTCAAAATGAGCCTAAACACGACTAGGCTTTGAATTTTCAGATTTGGGATACAGGCTTTTTGGACCATAACTTTTTCGATTCTGAATGTTTTGGGACAAAATTTATTTTATTGAACTCAACACGTTAAGAGCTTCAAAATGAGTATAAACAAGACCATGTTCCTTTAAATTTGAAATTTCGACTTTAAAGGTGCACCCCACATAGGGAGTCAACATTTAAAACTTCTGGAAAGTATGTCATGATTATATTCATTTTGAAGCTCTTGACGCCACAAGTTCTGAAATTTATGTTTTACTCGAAAATATTGAAAATTAATCGAGTTGTGGTCTGAATCATTTTCAGCCACCTTTCTTCTAATTTCTTGTAAGCGCCATAAGTCAGTCAATTCTCCGAATTTTGAGATCAAACATTCATTTTAAATTTTTTTGCATTACGAGCTTCAAAATGACTATAAACAAGACCATGTTCCTCTAAATTTGAAAGTTCGAGCTTAAAGGCGCAAAGGGGGGTTCAAAAATGGCAAAATTCAAAATTCCTGGAAGCTAGGTCATGATTATACTCATTTTGAAGCTCTTAATGTGATAAATTTGAAAATTTAAGTTTTGCCTCAAAATCAGAAAAATTGGTTAAGTTATGGTCTAAATAATTTTCAGCGAAATTTATCTTTAAAACTTATACATGCCATAACTCGACAAATTTTGCGAATTTTGAGATCTAACTCATTTTTTTGAATTGCGCATGTTAAGAGCTTCAAAATGAGTATAAACAAGACTATGTTCCTTTAAATTTGAAATTTCGAGTTTAAAGGCGCATGAACCCCAAATGGGAGGTCGAAATTTGAAAATTCCAGAAAGCCGGGCTTGTTTACTCATTTTGAAGCGCGGGACATGGGAAACCCAAATTTTAGGTTCCAGTGGCCTAGTTCTCGCTTTTTGAGTCATTGAAACTTAAAGTTTTGTACATATTTCATAACACACCACAAGTAACTCCAATTTTGGAACTTTTTCAAAATCTATTTTTAGAAATTTTTCTTCCAAATTTCAAAACTGCTCATCGTGAGCCACCTCTTCAGAATTCTGAATACAGTATGACTGACCTCTTTATACCTGTAGACTGGTTATACAGAAAGATGAGCAAACATGAGCAATTGACACTTCAGATGAGGCCGCCCGCCCATTTTTAATGTAAAGAACACTCATTCTTCGGGTTTAACAAACATTTATTATTCTCCAGAGACGGAGTTTTGGGATTTTATTCATATTTCTGACTCTACTATTTTGGTTCATATTAGTTTTCATTTAAATTTTGACCCTTTTTCGCCCATAACTTCCTTATTTTTCAGTCAAAATTATTGTGATTGCTAAATTTGAATTTTGCATGTTTAGAGCTTCAAAATGAGTATAAACATGCCTATGTTCCTTTAAATTTGAAATTCGGACTTTAAAGGGGCATGAGGGGGCCCAAAAAATGGCAATTTTGAAAATCAACTCATTTTAAAGCTCTTAACCTAAAAAGTCTGAAAGTTTAACTTTCATCAAATTCCACACAATACCTACAAAGTTTATGCTAAAATCAAATTTTAGAAAAACTTAATATTCTGAAAAATGACCGTAACTTCCTTATTTTCGAATCAAAATGGTTAAAATTGATATATTTGGATTTCCCAATTTTAGGGCTTCAAAATGAGTATAAACAAGATCATGTTCCGCTAAATTTGAAATTTCAAGTTTAAAGGCGCAAAGTGTGCCCAAAAAATAGCAAAATTCAAAATTCTTGGGAAGTATATCATGATTATACTCATTTTGAAACTCTCAACCTGAAAAATCTTAAAATTCAAATTTCAACTCAAATTTATGTAAAATAGCAAAATTACGCTAAAATGAAATTTCAGAATAAACTTAAAATTCCGAAAATTGACCATAAATTTTGAAATTTTCCAAGCACACTCATTGAAAAGTATATTTTTAGACTTGACATGTTGATTGCTTCAAAATAAGTATAAACATGACCATATTCCTTTGAATTTGAAATTTCGAGTTTAAAGGCGCAAAGGGGGTCCGGAAAATGAAATTGGAGGAAAGTAGGTCATGATTATACTCATTTTAAAGCTCTCAACCTGGCAAGTCTGAAAATTTAATTTTCATCGGATTCTGAACCAAATTTACAAACGTATACTCATTTGAATTTCCCGATTGTTTCCAAAATTCGCTTTTTTTTTCTAATAGAACAAATTTTTCAGGAATTTTCAAAAATGGCAATTTCAACACAACTATTTTTCACAACTCTTCTATCAATGATTTTTGGAACAATTCGGACCCAATTCATGGGGTATCCCTATGATTATAGCTCCATGTTCTCTGGTAAGTTATGGGGGAAAAATTTTTTTGGGAAAATTTTTTTCGAATATTTTGAAAAATTGCTTTCATTCAGACCAGAAAATTCAATTTTTACCGAAAATTTGAGACAAAAATTGAATTTACAAGAATTTGCGACCTGGAACACATTTTTCCAGAAAAATGAAATTGGCATAACTCGGTGAATTTTAGGATTTCAAAGATGAAAACTATATTTTTGAGTTTCTGAGGTTGTGAGCTTTAAAATGAATATAATCATGACCTACTTTCCAGATGTTTGAATTTCGAGCCCCATGTGGGGGTGCATGCGCCTTTAAAGTCAAGAAATCAAAGTGGGCGGCGCCTAGACGTGTTTATACTCATTTTGAAGCTCTCAATTCGCTCAATTTGAATAATTATATTTCATCTCATATTTCCAAGATTCTAGCGAGTTATGGTCCAAATAAGATTTTTCAGGATACACTGGCTACAACCCAATGATGTCTATGAGCAATACAATGGGTACGATGGGAAATGGTCTAGGAATGGGAACAATGGGGATGAATACTGGATTTGGGACATTTGGGACAGGATTGGAGAGTTTGTATGGAGGACAGGCAATTCAACAAGTGTACAATGGAGCGTATAATCCGTATGGGAACGGAATGTTTAATTTTGGTGAGAATGGAGACTTTAAAGGCGCATAACTCAAGAAGTACGGTAGCTATTTAAATTTTGTGAGCTAGAGAAATGTAGCAAATTTACTTTTACATATTTTCATAATTGAAATATTTTATCTAGCTACTGTAGTTTTGGGGTTATGCGTATTTAAAGTAAGCCAAACATCACCGGTGGCGCCGTAGAGGGATGGTTAGGGGGCCCCAGAATGTTAAACTTTAAAGGCGCATAACTCAAAAAGTACGGTAACTAGCTAAATTTTGTAAACTATCATAGTGTGTACAATTTAATTTCACACATTTCAATAATTTACGAAATTTTGATCGCTATAACGGTACTTGAGTTATGCGCCTTTAAATTAACCCGCCCGCAGATAACGTTGAGAGTGGGGTCAGGGGCGGCATCAACTTTAAAGGCGCATAACTCAAAAACTATAGAAGATAGTTTAAATTTAAAACTTATCAAAATGTGTAAAATTTAATTTTACATATTTTCATAATTGTAATCTTTTATTTAGCTACGGTAGTTTTTGAGTTATGCGCCTTTAAAGATTGCGCGCGCTGATGAGAAGGCGGAGAGGCGGAGGAGGGACACATCAACTTTAAAGGCGCATAACTCAAACACTTTTTAAGCTAGCTTAATTTTGTAAACCAGATAAATGTGTAAAATTCAATTTTTTATTTTTGTAGCTATCAAAAGTTGTCTAGCTACTGTAGTTTTTGAGTTATGCGCCTTTAAATAAAGCGCGATTTTTTTAAACTCAAAAAGAACTTTTTTCAGGAAACAACGGAATGTTTGGACAACAACAAAACACATTTGGAGCAGCCACGGGGTTCAATAACAATATGTTTGGAGCAAATACGGGTGAGCAATAAGAATATTTTTATAGGTTTTCGCGGAGAGATAGGAATCGTAAAATATTTATGACTCTGGGAAGTGCTTATCTTTAAAGGCACATATCTCAAAAACCAATACAGCTATCAAAAAGGTGCTAATTATGAAAATGTAGGAAATTTAATTTTCTATATTTTTATAGTTAACAGTTTTTTGATAGCTATTGTAGTTTTTGAGATATGCGTCTTTAAAGAGAGGCACCCTGGTGAGGTGGAGGAAGGAGAGGGAGAGAAGGGGGAGACGCAGAGAAGCGAGGGTGTCTAGCTTCTCTGCGTCTTAGAGCTAAAAACTATCAATTAAGCGTTTTCTTGGAGTTTTCAGAACTTTCAGAGTTTTCAAAAAAAATAAAGAATTTCAAAAAAAAATTTTTTTTGAATTTTCAAAAAACTTTTTTTTTCAATTTTTCCTTCAGAATTTACTTTAAATGTCTCGAAATTTTTTCAGGACTTGGAATCCAACAGAACGGGGCTCAAACAATGAACGGAAATCAATTTCAAGGAGGATCCCAAAATACTCTCAATAATGGAAATACAATGAGAGCCTACGGGAGAAGAAGTAATAATGGTTTGTAGCTACAGTGATCACTAAAATTGTAAAATGTGCAAAATTCAATTTTACACATTTTAGTAGTTAACAATTTTTTGATAGCTAGATTGGTTTTTGAGTTATGCGCCTTTAAAGTTGGTCAGCCCCGTCGCCCGGCGTCAAGAGGGAAGCGCGCCAACTTTAAAGGCGCATATCTCCAAAACTACAATAGCTACAGTAACTTTGTAAAATTTCATACGTAGAAAATTAAATTCTCTATATATTTATAATTTATGAAATTTGCCTAGCTACCGTACTTTTTGAGTTATGCACCTTTAAAGCTTTCTCCATCGATTTGAGAGCGTGCTAACTTCAAAGGCGCATCAAAAACTACGGTAATTAGAAAGAAGTGGTCAACTGGAAAAATGTGCGAAATTGAATTCTCTATAAAGTCCTAATTTCAAAATTTACAAAATTTCAGCCCAAAACTTCAATAACAACCAAAACAACAATTATGCTCCGACTCGTGTAGGAGGTGGAGGATGTAATGGATTCGGAGGCGGATGTCAAGGAGGATGGCAGAGTAAAAATAAGAAATCTTAAATTGTTCTGTCCAGTGGAGCAAATTTGCACCTCAATCTTCTATTTTTTGTTTAAATGTGTATCAATGAATTATTTAGTGTTCTATATCTAGCTGTGCAAAGAAATTTGATACCCTTAACTTTAAAGGCGCATAACTCAAAAACTACGGTAGTTATCAAAATTTTGTCAACTAATGAAATTTAAAAAAATTTATTTTACACATTTTACTAATCTGTGACTTTTTGATATCTACCGTACTATTGGAGTTATGCGCTTTTAAAATTGCCACGGCTCTTCGCACGGCACAAGAAAAGGAGGGGCGGCACTAACTTTGATGGCGCATAACTCAAAAACTACGGTAGCTAGGCAAAAATTGTAAATTGGTGAAATGTGGAAAATTTGATTTCACACATTTTTGTAGTTAACAACTTTTGTCTAACCATCGTACGTTTTGAGTTATGCGTCTTTAAAGTTGGGAAGCCCTGCAAAGGGGAGGCAATGAATTATTAATCTAGATATCTAGATGTGCAATATAATGCGATACCTATAAACCTAGAAATTAAGGCTCAAGGTTCAAAGGATCATAACACAACATTTTAAAGAAAAGTACAGTAATCCAAATATAAAAATTTATTTGAAAAAAAATATATTTGAGTTCAAATAAAAAAACAATTGAAGTCGTTGTCCTCCTGTCACTTGAGGTTGATAGAATTTCTTTATAGATGCCAATATTGAGAAGTACACATACAGTAATCTGGAAATTTTGAGTTAATTAGTCAATTACAATTAAGGGTATAATTACCATTTTAGAAACCGGATAGAAAATTATTCAAATAGAGAGGGCTATAAGACTTTCAGAACTGATTTCTCGTGGATCGGGAGGTAGAAAATTGACATTTGGAGAAAAAAAACCAAAAAAATGAGTTCGAAAGTTCAAAAATTAACTTTTTAGCGTCAAAATTTTTAAAGTTTAAATTTTACCCATTTTAAAAGCTTCTCGAGACTTCAACCTTTACAAACCTATAAAAAACCTTAAGCTAGCTCATTTTTGATGCTAAAAATGCAAAATTTTGACCCCTATTACTCCTAAAAATCCATTTTTATCCATTTGTATAACTCTTTGACCAAATTTCATTTTTTTTCCATTCCCCTCGCCTCTCTCCCCTCCTCCTCAGCACGCGCCCTTTTCCTCCCCCTTCTTATACGCACTCCCACCCCCTACTCCCTCGTGCGCCCTTATAGCTCAGTGGTAGAGCGTTGGTCTTGTAAACCAAAGGTCCGTAGTTCAATCCTGCGTGGGGGCAACTTCTTTTGTTTTCTTTTTTAAATCTTTTTTAGGGGTACTGTGGTACTGTAGTGTAAAGTAAACGTAGTTTTGGATCTTTAAAAGTTTTATTTCAGTAAGCTAAGCTCTTCTAATTCTCCAGCTAAACGATAGAATCCCAAGAATCTTCCAGAACAAAAGAGCAGCTACAATAACCGTGTAGTCGAGCCATAAGTTGGAGGTCTGGAATTTTAAAATTATTTTTTTTTCTTCAATAATTCAGTAGAGCGCACTTAATAGAGCCTACCTTAAACGATTGCTGCTTAATAAACTCGGCACCAGTGGTACAATTGCCCTCGGCTGTCGAAAAGGATACTGTAGTATTGTTCAGCTTCTGGCATCCCGGAATTTCATCAATTGAGTCAAAATAAACTACAGTAATCGCTTCGAATCCATACTTGTACCATGAGATCCATGAGAGAGGGGCGAAATACGAGGGGATGCTCTCATAATGAATCATGAACCCTCCGAAGACCATTAAAGGGACACAGACGATCGGGAGTACGGTCATTCCTGTTGCCAAGTGTCCACACATCGCTGCGAAGGATTGAGCTGAAAAGTTTCAGATTTTTTTTTGAAATTTTTGAATAAAAAATTTTTTTGAAAATTTTTTCAAAAATTCCTACCAATCGAACAGGCATTTAGACTCAATAAAATGTTAATAGCCAAGTAGTGGGTCACCGAATAGGCTCGAAATGGTAGACTAGTCATTGCGAGTAGAATTCCACTGAAAATCACTGGGAACACCAGATACTGGACGCTCTGAAAACATCTGGATGTCTTTGGACCATAACTTCATTCAGCTTCAAAATTTTGAACTGAAAATTAATTAGTTAAAATTTTCAGGTCCAGAGCTTTGAAACGAGTATAAACATGACTAGGCTCGGCCCACTTTGAAATTTTGAGTTTAAAGGCGCATAGGGGGTCCGAAATTTGAAAATGTTCGAAAGTAGGTCATGATTATACTCAATTTAAAGCTTATAACAAAAAAAGCTTGAAAATACACACTCGAAAATATTGAAATTGAATCGGGTTATGATCTAAACTAATTTTAGCGAACTTTTTCTTGAAATCTTGTAAACATCATAACTCAGTTAATTTTCGATATTTTCAGACAAAACTTGTATTTTTGAAAATCCCACGTTGAGAGCTTCAAAATGAGCATAATCATGACCTACTTACTCTAGATTTGAAATTTCGGACCCGCAATGCGAAGTTCATGCACCTATAAACTCAACATTTCAAATTTAAAGGAACATAGGCATGTGTATACTCATTTTGAAGCTCTCAACTAGCCAAACTCAAAAATCAAACGTTCACCTACATCTGCGGTCGTTTTAGCCAAATAATAGGCACTCGGCGAGTACATATTCGCCTGAAACTCGCGGACCACCACCGGATAGTCCTTCCAGAATACGGTCATTGCTGGCATCATGAACAACATGTGCATCATTTGAACAGAAACGAATGCGAATCCTTTGAAACTTGTCAAGTACTCCTTTTTGATTTCCATTTGGAAATAGGTGGCACCAATCATCAGACTCATGATTAGGGTCTGCAAAAACTTTGTTTTCTTCATAACTTGGTCAAATATTGAAATTTTTGAAAGAAAACACAATATTTGAGTTTGTCTTGTCAAGAGCTTCAAAATGAGTATAAACACGACTAGGCTCCGTGAAATTTCAAGTTTAAAGGCGCATGGGGGGTCCAGATTTTGAAATTCAAGGAAAGTAAGGCAAGATTACACTTATTTTGAAGCTGACAGCGTACTGAGCTCAAAAATCAAAATTTCATTCAACTTGAACGAGTTTCAGCAAAGTTGCGATCGCTTGACATTTTTTGGGATTTGTTCAATTTTCAGAGAATAGACCATAACTTTGCAAAAAACTGTTCAATCTTGGCAACAGTGAAATTTCTGTGCTCAGTGAGTTTTCAGCTTCAAAATGAGTATAAATATGCCCATGTTCCTTTAAATTTGGAATTTCGACTTTAAAGGCGCACGAATACTTATGGGGGGGGTCCAGATTTTGAAAATTAAGCTAAGTGGGTCATGTTTATACTCATTTTGAAGCTATTAAGCTGGCAAATTTAAATTTGTAAGTTTCAGTTCAAAAATCTAATATTCAAATAAGTTATGGGAGAAATACATTTTAAAAAAAGCCCTATCTCAGCCAATTTCAGACCGATTTCGATGATTTTTGGCTTTAAAAAACTCCAGATTTCAAATGGACTCACCTGAATAAGCTTAACCACAAGTACAGCTCTTTCTCGATACAATTGAATAGCAGATCTATGCAAAACGTAGGCGAATTGACACCACCAGGTCCTTGGGAAAGTGTCATTTGGGTCCACAAGCTGTTCTCGACGCGAAGAATGGGTTGACGATTGAACTGATTTCTCCTTTTGCATAGTTTCATGTTCCAGAACAATCTTATCGATTCGACGATTGTATTCATCTTCAGATTCGAATGATTTATGGGATATGACACGCATGAAATGGTCCGGGGAACTGACGAACTTTGGAATCGGATAGCCGCATCTGGAAATTATATGTTGTATTGCATTTGCCACATTGAGAGCTTCAAAATGAGTATAATCATGACTATGTTCCTTCAAATTTGAAATTTGGAGTTTAAAGGCGCATGGGGGGTCCGAATTTCGAAAAAGAGCTAGATGGGTAATGGCTATACACATTTTGAAGCTCTTGACATGAGAAACTCAAAAAATTGAGTTTCATCTTGAAATTTGGTAAATTAAGCGAGTTATGGCGTTTACAAGATTTTGAGAGAAATTTCGCTGAAAATAATTTAGACCATAACTCAGTTAACCTTCGAAGTTTTCGAATGAAACTTAGAATTATGAATTTCCCGCGTGAAGAGCTACAAAATGAGTATAAACACGACTATGTTCCTTTAAAGTTGAAATTTCGGGTTTAAAGGCGCATGAACCCCTCGTGGGGAGAAATTTAAATTTTCTATAAAGTAAGTCATGTTTATACTCATTTTGAAGCTTTTAACACGGAAAACTCAAAAATGCAAAGTACAACCAGAAACAATAAAAATGAACAAAGTTATGACCAGAATCATTTTCAGCAAAATTTTTCCTAAAATCTTGTGAACGCCATAACTTGACCAATGCTTCGAATTTCAAGCTGATACTTAGATTTTTAACTATCCCACGTTTAGAGCTTCAAAATGAGTATAATCATGACCTACTTTCCTGGAATCCCAACTTTCGGCCCCCTATGCGCCTTTAAAGTCCAAAATTCAAATTTAAAGGAACATAAGCATGTTTATACTCATTTTGAAGCTTTTAACGCGGAAAAATTAAAAATGTTAGTTTCAATTCAAAATAATGAAAACTAACAAAGTTATGACCGAAATAAAGATCATTACCTTCCAAAAAACGCGTCCACCGCCTTAGCGGACCCGGCGTAAGCCACATAACCTTGAGACAAGAGAATCAATTGATCAGCCATGTGATAAACCGATGTGGATGGTTGATGAATCGTACAGACTACGGTTTTACCCTCCAAAGCCAGCTGGCGGAGTGCTTTGATCACTTGATGCGACATAAATGAGTCGAGACCAGACGTTGGCTCGTCACAGAACAGAATTGGAGGGTCCGTGAGAATCTGAAATTTTAAGAATGTTGAATTTTTTGAAACTTCTAAAAATTCTAAACATTTCAAGCCAAAAATCTTGAAAATCGGACCAAAAATCCAAATTTCAAAACACCTTTCTTCTACCGTAACCCGCTGGTTTTTAGAATTTGAGTCATGCAACTTCGAAATTCAAATTCGCCGTCTCAAGAGCTTTAAAATGAGTATAAACACGCCTGGGATCCGCCCATTTTAAATTTTTGACTGTTTTTGACTTTAAAGGCACATAAGGGGTCCGAAAATTGAATGTTGAGGAAAGTAGGTCATGATTATACTCATTTTGAAGCTCTAGTTCCGACAAATTCAACAATAGCGGTTTTATAATGAATGAATGAAAATTGACAGAGTTACGGTAGTTTAGACCTTTTTCGTGGTGAGGAACAACAATTTTCCGAAAATCGATAATTTTGAAAATGAGTCATGATTATACTCAATCGAAAGCTCTAGACAAGATAAATCCAAAAAAATTAAAATAGCCCCAAAATTCATTAAACAAGCCAAGTTATGAGCAAAACAACAAGTTATGATCTATGCCGATAACAAATATAGTCGTAGCTCAGTACATTTTTGTCAATTTCAAAAAATTAGGAAAGATTTGAATTTGGTAAGTCAAGAGCTTCAAAATGAGTATAATCATGACCTACTTTCCTGAAATTTTATTTTTTTGGGCCCCATTGTGAGGTTCATGCGCCTTTAAACTCGAAATTTCAAATTTAAAGGAACATGGGCGTGTTTATACTCATTTCGAAGCTCTGGACGAGGCAAATTCAACTATCTAATTTTCAGATCAAAATTTCGAAGAAGTACCGTACCTCACAAGCGAACGCCAGCCTCTTGCGCTCTCCTCTCGACAGACTTTTCTCTGTCATCGATCCGACTTTCGTGTTTTCACACTTTTTCAGACTCATCATTTCCAGCAAATCGTCAACTATGGAATTCAATTCTACAGTATCCAATTTGAATGGGGACCTCAATTTGGCGGCAAACAACAGGGTCTCCCGGACTGTTAGCATTCCAATAAAAACGTCATCTTGTTGTACATAGGCACTCAATTTCTTCATCTCGTTTGGTGTCATGTTACGACTGGAAATATCACGGTATCGAAAATACCAGAAATGTAAAAATCAATAAAATCCCATGAAAATTTGAAATGTGAACTACATATTTGAATTTAGCGCGTTTAGAGCTTTAAAATGAGTCTAAAAACGGCTAGGCCCCGCCCACTTTGATTTTTGACATTAAAGGCGCATAGGGGGTCCAAAAAATGAAATTCGAGGAAAGTGGGTCATGATTATACTTATTTCGAAGCTCTTGGCGCAAAAAATTAAAATATTTTAGTTTTAGCTTGTTCCTGCAAAAAAAACAAAGTTATGACCAAAACAAGTTTTACCTAAAAATCTTGAAATTTTATTTCAAACGTAACTTTTTTTAACATTGGAAAATTTTATATGCCAATTGTGAATTTGAATTTTCCGTGTTTTGAGCTTCAAAATGAGTATAATCATGACTAGGCTCCGCCTACATTGACTTTTGGGAAATCTTGACTTTAAAGGCGCATAGGGGGTCCAAAATTAGAAAATCAAGATAAGTAGGTCATGATTATACTCATTTTGAAGCTCTTATTACAGAAAGTTCAAAAATCCATGTATCTTTTTAAAAACTCAAAATTTAACTGAGTTATGGTCAAAATTGTTTTCAGCAAAATTTCTCTCAAATACTAATAATTGCTATAACTCGACCAATTCTACAAATTTAGAGATCAAAACTCAGATTTTTGAATTTATTCGGTTAAGAGCTTCAAAATGAGCATAAACACGACCGACTTTCCTTTAATTTCATTTTTCGGACCCCCCATGCGATGTTCATGCGCCTTTAAACTTAAAATTTCAAATTTGAAGAAATATAGGCATGAGTATACTCATTTTGAAGCTCTAAACGTGGAAAGTTTGAAAATCTGTGTTTCCAAACGAAATATTGAAAATCAAAGAGGTTATGACCCGAAAACCCACTTATTAACAATGACCTCTCCCTCGGTTTCCATGTTTTTCAAATTGCGCCCAGTTAGGATATTCAACAGTGTCGTTTTTCCAGCACCAGACGATCCCATGATGAAAGTGAGCTCTCCTGGCCGCGCGATTCCAGACACTTTTTTCAGAATCTCCTGTCGGACCCCTTTTTTCTTTACCGCGACTGCCTTGATATTCTGAAAAGTGAGCTTTTTTCGAGCCCCTTTTTGTGGGACCGAGAGGGCGGGGCCAGATTCGGTGTCGGTTGTTGCCGAGGCGATTTGTTTCGATGATCGCCTGAATCGCTCGCTGGAATTCTTCAAATCCTTCTCCACTTCTTCCACTTCGGACGGCACGATTGTAGTTGTGGACTGCAAAGGATTCCATTTTTGAAATTCTCAGCTAAAGAGCTTCAAAATGAGTATAAACACGACTAGGCTCCGTTCACTTTGAAATTTCAAGTTTAAAGGCGCATGGGGGGGGGGGGTCCAGATTTTGAAATTCAAGGAAAGTAAGGCAAGATTACACTTATTTTGAAGCTGACAGCGTACTGAGCTCAAAAATCAAAATTTCATTCAACTTGAACAAGTTTCAGCAAAGTTGCGATCGTTTGAAATTTTTTGGGATTTTTTAAATTTTCAGAGAATTGACCATAACTTTGCAAAAAACTGTTCAATCTTGGCAACAGTGAAATTTCTATGTTCCTTTAAATTTGGAATTTCGACTTTATAGGCGCATCCAGATCGTCCAGATTTTGAAAACCAGCGAAAGTAGGGCATGATTATACTCATTTTGGAGCTCTCAACTTGCACATTTCATAAAATTTTGTTTTATCCAAAAGTATCACAAACTGGCTGAGTTATGGCGTTTTCAATATTTTAAGAAAATTTTCACTGAAAATAATTCAAGCCATAACTCTGTGGATTTTCTAAATTTTTGTATGAACCCTAGATTTTTACATTTCCCGAGTTACGAGCTTCAAAATGAGTATAAACATGACCATGTTCCTTCAAATTTCAAATTTGACCTTTAAAGGCGCATGAGGGGTCCAAATTTTGAAAATCGAGGAAAGTAGGTCGTGATTATACTCATTTTGAAGCTCTAAACGCAAGAAATTCAAAAATATTGACAGTGTTACAAAATATACAAAATTAAGAATGTTACGGTCCAAACAGCATAAATTAATTACCTATAAATTTTGTAAACACCATAACTCGGCTAGTCTTCTGAACTTTGAGATAAAACTTAGATTTTCGAATTTCCCGAGTTACGAGCTTCAAAATGAGTATAAACATGACTATGTTCCTTTAAATTTGAAATTTGACCTTTAAAGGCGCATAGGGGTCCAAATTTTGAAAATCGAGGAAAGTAGGTATACTCATTTTGAAGCTCTCAACGCGGAGAGTTCGAAAATACACGGTTTTAGTGAAAATACGGAAAAAAATTCCCAGAATTTCGAAATCTACCGTATTCCCAACCGCCGTCTCCGGTGGTTTCGTGGATAGTTGTGTCGTTTGCATCGTCGCATCATCAGTTAGCTCACTTTTCAGAAGACGTTCTGCAATTACAACGTCATCTGGAGATGATTCCAGATTTCTGGCAGTTTGCCAAAGAGATTCACCATTTTCTTCAATCATTTTTTTTTTTCAAAAATTCTCCAAGTCCAAATCGAAACGAAAGATTGTCTCAGGAAGTACAGTAATAACTCATTTGAATTATTTTTATTTAAAAAATTCAAAAAAAACAACACCAAAAAGTTACACATAGTGATCTAGAAAACGTGGCGGTGAGGAGTGGCAAAAATGGCAAAAAAGCCAAAAATTGGGGAGAAGGAGGTCAGGCGGGAATTCGAAAAATTCGAAAAAAAAAGTTTTTTTCAAAAAAATTAAAAATTCAAAAAACATATTTTTTGAAAAATCAAAAATTAAAAAAAAAAATTAAAGTTCCGATTTCGACGAATCCAGATCGATATCCGATAAATCGATATCCTCAACGATTGGAAGTTCCTTATCCAGGCCGTCCCATGGAGCTGTTTCAACGATTTTCAGCCAATTTCCAGACAAACGGGCGGGCTGAAATTTTCATAATTTTTCAAAAAAAAAAATTTTTTTTTGGCTGAAATTTTTAGCTTTAAAAAAGGCTGAAAATCCCGAAAATTCAGAAAAAAAAAAATTTCGAATTTTTGGCTTAAAATGTCTCAAAATGGCTCCAACTTTTAAATTTTTTCTCCAATTTTCGCGGATTACTGTACCTGCACATCTCGGACTCTTCCTTTTCCATACGTCACCGAATTCAAGAATTCCTTGATTCCGTCCACTGAAAATTGGCCAATTTGAGTGGCGAATTTCAGCTTAGATGGACTCATCGCGACAACGACCGGATAGCCAGAATCCCCGATTTCAAAAGCCTGAAAATCAAAATTTTAAAGCTGAAAATGCTCCAAAATAGGACTAAAATCGTCTAAAAATGACCTAAAAGTCTGTTTTCAGAAAATTTTCAGCACTTTTTCAAGTCATTTTCAGACTATCTGAATCTCTATCTGGTTGAAACCCATATTTTCAGATTGCCCAGGTTGAGAGCTTCAAGATAAGTATGAATACGACTAGGCTCCGCCCACATTGATTTTTCCACTTTAAAGGCGCATAGGGGTCCGGAAAACCAAAATTTGGACAAAGTAGGTCATGATTATACTCATTTTGAAGCCGAAAACGCGGGAATTTCAAAACATTAAGTTTTATGCGAAAATATCAAAAATTGACTGAGTTATGGGGGTTACAAAATTTCGAAGGAGTTTTGCTGAAAATAATTTGGGCCATAACTCAGTCAATACTTTCGTATGAAACTTAGAATTTCGAATTCCTCTTGTTTTTAGCTGCAAAATGAGTATAATCATGACTAGGCTCCGCCCACATTGATTTTTCCACTTTAAAGGGGGACTCCGACCAAAAATTGTATTGCATTAAAATGTGTTTAAAGTTATCTATTTTCCAAATATTATTGCGAAAAAATTCAAAGAAAA